CGTTCGAAGGAGCGAGAGCGCTCTCTGTCGCGGCGTTCCCGGTGGCTGCCGCTGCGCTCGTGCTTGTGTTTCTTCAGGTCAAAGCGCTCTCTGTCTCTGTCACGCTCACGCTCCCTGTCGCGCTCGCGGTCTAGCTTGATGGGGGTGCGAGAGCGCGAGCGTTTCCTCTTGTGGCCGGAGCTGCTGTTGCTATGGCGCCCGCTGCTCTTCGAGTCGCTGTTGTGGTGCGTGGACTTGGACTTGAGGTGCGGCAGCAGGGGGGAGGGGGGGTGCCGTCGTGGTGACAGACTTCTGCTGTGAGAACGGGAACGAGACCGGGAGCTGAAAGTCCCCGAGCGACTGCGTCTGTAGCTGCGGGAGACAAACCAACAATTACTGCATCATGGAAGTTACTCAAGACTTAAAAACCTGAAGTGTTCAAGAAGATGGACTTACTGTCGCCGTGGAGACCGGGATCTCGACCGGGACCTGGTTCTTGATCGGGATCGGCTTCCACTCCTACTGTTCTTCACTTCTCTCCTCAGACTAAACACAACACACATGTAAACGTCTGAACCAAGGATAAAATTATTAACATTATATAGATATATATATATGAGATGTGCTGACCCGTTGTGTGGACTTTTGGAGGCCTGGTTCCGACCGTCCGACTCCTTCTTGGAACCTTTCTGGGTCTGGGAGTTGGGCGACTTGTCCTCCATTTTAACATTGACATTTGGGGACGAGGGTTTGGAGGCCGGAGAGAAGCCCCCCACTGACGTCAGGGCTGGGGTCCCATCAGGGTTCAGACCTTTGGCCTTGAATTTGGCCTCGTTCAAGAACAGCTTTCTCTTCTCCACCTCCTTCTCCAGCTGCTCACAGTTGGGCTGAAGACAGACTCACATCAGTACCGAGCAGAGGAGACCCTTCTCATGTGTACGTGTTCAGGAGGCAGTACCTTTTTCCTGGTGTACAGTTTTAACGTGGTGAGGCAGATCTCTTTGATTTCCTCTTCGGTGGCTCCAAACAGCAGGTACCAGTGAGGCCTGGAGGGCAGAGGGATCTGCAGCAGGAGACAGTGGGTCAGTGTCACAATAAAAACAGGTTGAGCTGACAATAGTTAACAATAGTAAATCCACCTGCAGAGCACGGGCTGCGAGGTAAATACAGGCACAGGCGATGGTCTCCGCTTGGAACCTCACAAACACATTGGTCCTCAGGCTGTCGTTCATGTAGTTCCTACAACAACAGAAGCACATAGAACAAAACATAGCATCTTCTCGCAAACTCAAGACTTCTCCACAACTGGTCTGCAGTTAGAGGCAGTTGCCAAAAACTACTTTTTGAAGACTGTTTGAAATACTGTAGAGAGCCTCTAACAGCAGCTCATCTGGTTTTATGTAATTCAGATCCAAATTGATAAAGCAACTTTCTCAATGGGGCCACATCAGACTTCGATCTAACTTTGTCCATTTCTCTTTGGGGTTTCCACAGCAGGTCACATGGGCATGGGGGCGGACGGTCACCATAGAACAGAATGATCTTGGGTCATGCATTTTGACTTTGAGCATGCAGCACAACACTGGACTAAACCGTCACTTTAAAAACTGACGGGACGATGTGTGGCAACATGCAGAGACCATTGGATCAAATGTACACATCTTTTTTTGGATTGAAATGAAGATCCAAACCAAGCTACAGTGTCTAAACTTCATCACAGAGCATGTAAGAAACACTTGTTGCCAGAACATGTGGTCAATTTAAGTCAGAGAATGGCAAAAAAAACAAGCAGATGAAAAATAATGAGCGCACACATGTTGACTTGTGTCATTTCTTCATGCGGTTCTGTTCTGCTTGGTCTAATCTAGCTCACTGTGAACCCTCAGGGGACATGCAGGGGAGCCGCTTCAGAGCTACGCTAATGCTACGATGACCTCTGCTGAGTCACAGGTCCTTCAGGAGCAGCCTGCAAAACAGACATGTCTGGACACCACGTCAGATGGCAGGACACAGAATGCTTCAATGTGCTCTACTCTCACTACTGCTGGCTCGTCTTACCTGCACACACTACATGCTAGCTATGGCTAACATCTCATTCAAATATTCAGGAGCAAGACCAAAATACCAATCCTTTCAGGACTCTTAAGAAAACAAGATGACGTTGGCAGTTGGAATAGGCCCCGCCCCCTTCAGAGAATCTCAGCATTGGGATTGGCTGTCAGCAGAGCCAGCCAATGGGGGGAGCTTCCTGAGGTCATGTGGTTGTAGGAGGCAGAGTTCAGAGGTTCTTTATGTGACTTACCAGCATGGACTACCCTTTAATCAAAGAGTAGAGAAAAAGGACAAAGTTAAACCGAGGTCTGCTTACGTGGAAACAACACAAGACTCAAGTTAGGCCATGTAAGGGCAAACAGTGAGGCATGTTAAGCATCAGACTAATGTGTCCATCAGAGGGGGAGGAGGGGTCAAATGGGCGGGAGTCAGAGACAGCCCTGGACCAAACATGGGGCAGTTCACATGTGTGACTAAGCTCCGAGAGCTGCACACATGTAACTGCTCGGTGTTTAGCTCAGGGCTGAGGCCTTTCTTCAAGACAACAGGTTGTTGCTGTGAGAATGGACAAAAAGGCAACAAAAGAGACACTTACCAGGCGGTCTGCACCAGCGTTTGGTTCTTTTCACATTCCAGGAATTGAAGGTACATGACGATAATCTGACAAAAACAGGCAGAGAATAAAATGTCCTGAACGTGTGATTTGTGGAGAAACATTACGTAGAGAATGTAGAGACTCACCTTGTGTGGATGCTTAACATGAACACAGAATCCCAGCTCCTTCAGGATCCGCCGCTCAGCTTTGATCACTAGGTTTTTGGTATTTATGTAGTTCTGATCAAGTATCAGTGATATTGGAGTCCTGGTTTGTGAAGGAACCAAAATAAATAATTCCCTCTTACAAAAGTTATATTTAAAAAACAAAACACAGAAAAAGAAAGTGCCCTTTTGTAGGTATGCACTCTTTTTTCCTTTTCAACCAACTTAAAATATCCTAGCAAGTCTGACAGTGGGGTTGTGGACTCCTGTGGTTCAGAGAGAAATGTGTAGTTGATCAGCCTCAGTGCTCCATCACCATGTGCCACAGCTTTCACAGAAACAGCCTCTACTCTCAGCCAGGTCAAACTAAACCGTCTCAATGTCACTTCGAAATACGTTCTTCTATGACTCAGACTATTCCAATCAATGTTGTGTAGCCCTAATTCACACAAAGAAAGTTCACCTAGCTCAAACAGTGCAATTTAACAAACACCATGGATTTGTTTGGTGTTACGTGCTCGTCATTAAGCGTGGGACCAATAAAAAGCACCCGTAACGTGCACCCTGCCCATACCTGTCTTAACTTAGCCCATGCTGAATGAGTGCACTATCCATAGTTATGCATGGCTCTTAATAAATACAGATACTCGTTTTATTCATTTGGTTTGACGACTCCCTTCATTCCTACTGGTCTGTAATGTGCTGCAACACTGAAATGTCCCCTATCTGAATCCAGGTGTATAGCTGCAGGGCTCCAGTTAAGGCTTACACATTCTGAGCTCACAGACACCTTCACATTTCCACAGTACAGAGACAGCATGCGGGATACTAAAAACTCCATCAAACGCTACATTTCTGATCAGCTTTTCTGTAAAAGCCGTGGACAGAGTTTGTGAATTGGACTTGGTTCAAAGCACAGAGTTGCATGGTGAAGGGCAGCCAGAGGAAGGAAAAGACTACTTTACCCAATGATGGACAGAATTTTTTTTGAACGAACCACAGGAGTCCTCAAAGTGCCCCAGGACCGAGACCGTCGGCCAACCTGTCATCCCCGATCCCAGAAGCCCGCGGTGCCTCGGACCACGGGCGTCTCCCACAGGAGGGGTGGGCCGGGCCTGGGGGAGGAGACAGCCTTGCCTCATGGTTGTCATGCCGACTGCTTCAGCTTACGTACCATTCCACATCACCCAGGCTTTGGTAAATGTAGCTGGTCGCTGTTAGTTGGTTGCAAAGGAAAAAAGAATCCAAGTTAATGCCAAGGTCTGGACTAGACAAACATTTTATGTCAAGACAGGGGCACAAACAGAACTTGATTTCACTTGTGCATGTCTTATATTTCTAAAGATTTTATTTTGAACTAGACGTTTAAAACACATAAGTTCAGAACCACATTTTAATAAAATATACTTCAGAAAGTACTATGTTGAAACTGAAAAGAGTACATAGATCAACAGAAGAGCACTTTCACATTCAAACAGTCGAAACAAAGTTATAGTAAAAAAATAAAAATGCAAGGAGAGGACTAGGTTTACATGTACTTACTTTTTGGCTCTAATCTGCTTCAAATGGTGAAAAACATTGATCACATCCCGTATTCGCCTGGGGGCTTCTTCAATCTTCGATGCAAGGTTAATACACGCCATGGCCACGATCTGAAAGACAGGAAGAAGAGTTTACACTGAGTGAGCAGACATCTCCTTCCTAGCACCACAGAAGAGGGCTGTATGTAACATCGTAGGATGAATATCAATATTAGCAGGTCACACGTAAGAAGTGGGTGAACCCAACAACATACGGGCGTAATAAAAACACAGGATTGAAGGATGTGTCTGACATCAAAAACAGTTTTGAGTATCAGAACAATGAAACACGTGGATGGAGCCTTTGTCAGTGATTAACAACAAAACCACAATATATTTATAGAATGAGGTAATGTTCTCAAAATGGAAGCATGAAACTAAGAGTGGTTGTGTCTCGTCTACTGTGCGTCATATGAGCGTGAGAACAACATGGCTTCTGCTGGCGACGCAACCTCGACGTTGTGCTAGGCTAAGCTAACAATGACCAACAGTTACGCAGTGGGGACACTTACCTCGAAACTGTGCTTCACAAAGGATTTGGAGTAGAAGAAGCGATGGAAGAGGACCTGGCCTGTTGCCATGGCGACCTATCAAAGATTGTTTTGTCAGAAAACAATTCATATTTTCATTTAAATCTATCCTGACACAATGAATCCGCCATTTTCCCAACCACGCCAACACCTTCTGCTAACAGGCTAATGCTAACAGGCTAATGCTAACAGGCTAATGCTAACAGGCTAATGCTAACAGGCTAATGCTAACAACCAGGCCCCGTGAGAAAAGAGACTGGGTCGCTGGACTTTAGCAGGTACTCCACTATCATACAAGAGGTTCAGCACACACTATCAGTATTTACCTGCGGCAATCGGAGCAGAATACCCGCAGACTGGATGAGTTCGCATCCTAAAATGCGAAGGTCGGTCTCCGTGCTCAGGTCGAGGCCATCGAGCATAGACGGCGTGGGGGAAAGTCTTTCCTCCGGGATCAGAGAGTTGTCGATGGTCAGATACACCTCCGAGTACACTTTATCCCCGATGAGAATGCCATCGTTATTAGTGGATGCATTGGACGAGACAGAAAGAGGACCTGCGGCCATCTTCATCAGCACAACAGCGGTTACAGCAGCAGCTCGATCCAGCCGGTTTCAACAGGAAGCGCCGTGCTTACGTCACCACACGCACTACGCACGGTGCACCTCCGCATCGGAATATAGTGCTCAAGGACAGATATTATGATAGAGACGCATGCAACACAACTAATATTTACAGACACTAACTGGTTAATATAGGAAAAAACAACAAAGAGAATATCGTATAACTGGCATAACAGTTGTTATCTTTGTCTATTATTATTATTATTGTTTAAAAGTAGTAGCAGTAGTAACAGCAGCAGCAGCAGTAGCAGTAGTATTGGTCATCCGCCAATGGCTCCTATATGTTGGTTATTTCTGCATTCCCTGTTTTGTAACTCCTTGATTCTCTGATATGTGGTATCTGAAATAACTAGACATTGACCGATTTAGGGCTACACAAAACATACTTATATTGTTTATATATGTTTTTATTAACATACAAATGTATGGCTATACATGGCTTGTGTCAAGAAAGTTAAAACAAATAAATATATAGTTTTATTTATATATTTGCGTTGCAGTCATGGACAGTATTGTTGCAGTAGAAGCGCTCGTGATGTCATTTACGGGAAATCCCGGACTGGTCGCGACTAATCACATTAGAACATATCCGTACGCCGATTCAAAAATGAAGCAACAGTTGGACATGAGGTCTGGTGTTCTATAGACCTGACCTTAGACGGGAAATTCAATGTATTTACGATATTATAATAGATCCATGTGTATATAGCATATATGTATAGCTTGTGATAATATATATGTCTATATTACAGCCAGCACATTCACCAAAAAAACACATGCACCATCATTCTGTCAAGAGAATAGAATGGTGATTATTCTTCCTGCAATTAAAGCAAAATGGTGTGAGATATTGGAGGAAAAGGGATAATGATCAGCATTACAGTATCACCTAAAATAAAACAACACGACCCTCCATAAAAGCTCAGGCTGTAGTAACGTAAAGAGACACAAGATGTCATTAAAGCTCTATGCCTACTCCTAGGTCTCTGCTTCTTGGAGGATTTTTTTTCACATTTCAAATAATTTTCTTTTTAAGATACTAACTACTGTGATAATTACTCTATTTCTCATCATTCTACAACTCATGAAATACTGGGTGCAGAACTGCATAGAATAGTTTCACCAGAAACCATTAAAGCAAAATGCCTCATTTTCTAGTGATTACAAGTTGGTTTTAATGCACAAACAAGCTACGGGATGACAAATGTTCTGAAATGTCCTGGATCTTCACGGCCCTCCTGTATCAGCAGGATACGACTCAGGAAAAAAACAAAAAAAAGATATGAGAAAAAGTCATGGCACCCTGCAGGTCACTACAATGTAGAATATGAAAAATCTTAACTTTTTTCCACATAAACGTTACATAATGCATCTTTAAGCTTTGTGAAACGTTCTCCAAGTGTCAGATTCACAGAATGACACAAACCTGTGAATCAGAGCCACATCTCTGTGTTTAGGACCTTTTTCTTGTTTAATTCAGTTCATTCGACTGTTGCTCTGAGCAGGACTCTGTTGCTCTGAGCAGGACTCTGTTGCTCTGAGCAGGACTCTGTTGCTCTGAGCAGGACTCTGTTGCTCTGAGCAGGACTCTGTTGCTCTGAGCAGGACTCTGTTGCTCTGAGCAGGACTCTGTTGCTGCTGCTGCTCGTCATGACAATGGTGTTGTCTTTCTTTCTTTTATTCACTTCCTGGGTTTTTATTGCCCACAATATTATAAGTCAGTCGTATGTTTATGGAGCTCATTGTTTATGTTTTGGACTAAACAACAATTAACATCTCTGTGGTGTTTTTGTTTCAGAATCCATTTTTCAGATTGTGCCAAACAAAACAGCTTGTTTGTATTTATTTTTAGCTCAAACTAAAATGTTCGTAAGTTAGATCACTGTGTGAGAACTAAATAAATAATATGTGTGTTTTTTGCTTTGGAATGACATGGATCAGTATTGTTTAACCACGGCCTCAGGTGCTGTTTTCACCTCAATGGTCAAAATAATAAGAAAATAAAACGTGAGAAAATATGTTTGTGTTTGTTTGATTTTCTACATAACACACTTTGATCAGAATTATATTGTTATTAAAGGCTGCAGAGTTTCATTGTTGCATCAGTTTCAGCTGGAGAGTCGTGTGAAGACCAAAGTCAGTCTAAAACAGTGGTTCTTGACCTGGGTTTGATCGAACACTGGGGTCAGTCTGTGTCAGGGGTGGACCAGAGCCTCCGCTGCAGACACACGTAAACCATCTCCTGAGCCTGTGTGGCTCTCCCTGAAGCAGATGCTTCGAAACACTGCTTTGGAGCGTGTCACGTGTGATTGTAAACTCACAACATGTCATTTGTCGTGAGTTCATGGACTGTGTTGGTTTTGTTCTTCGAACAAGTCGATGTTCATGCTCGGCTCATTTTCTGCACCAGTAAAAAACAAATCTATGTCCAAAAAAAATCACATTTTGTTTTTCCCTCGAGGAGTTTATGCACATATGAAGCTGGTGGAGTTCGGTGCCTCCAACAAGGTCAAGAACCACTGGTCTAGAATAAACATCAGAAATACTGTAGTCAGTGATAGTAACAACAGCTACACACACTTTAGAAATACCAATGTTCATCTTTGTCTAGACATTATTAGTGTTGTGTTTAGCCGACAGTGGACATGGTTTCAGATTATTGTTCTATACTGTGTACTTTTGTTTACAAGTATGGAATATGTTGAACTTTTTCCTTTTCGCAAATGCGAAAAGGAAAAAGTTCAACATATAGTTTGCTGCACTGAAAGTAAAGGGGCCGAATAATATTGCATGCCCCACTTTTCAGTTTTTTATTTGTTAAAAAAAGTTTAAATTATCCAATAAATTTCGTTCCACTTCACGATTGTGTCCCACTTGTTGATTATAGACAAAAAATTAAATGTTTATATCTTTATGTTTGAAGCCTGAAATGTGGCAAAATGTTGAAAGGTTCATACTTTCGCAAGGCACTGTACAGTATTTAAACCCAAAACACATTTTATCCAAGGTGACGTGATCCTAACACTTTTTTTGCTGACAAAAGCAGAAAAAACAGTTTAGCACCATGGGTGTCCGCGCGACCAAACCACAGATACGGTGGACTCGGGAGCTGGACTCGGGAGGTGGACTCGGGAGGTGGACTCGGGAGGTGGACTCGGGAGGTGGACTCGGGAGGTGGACTCGGGAGGTGGACTCGGGAGGTGGACTCGGGAGGTGGACTCGGGAGCTGGACTCGGGAGGTGGACTCGGGAGCTGGACTCGGGAGGTGGACTCGGGAGGTGGACTCGGGAGGTGGACTCGGGAGGTGGACTCGGGAGGTGGACTCGGGAGGTGGACTCGGGAGGTGGACTCGGGAGGTGGACTCGGGACCTTATTATTTTTGACAACAAACAGCATACTTATTGTGTATTGTTTTCCCTGTTTTTGTTGACAGTATTTAAAAAGCATTTAAAATACGAAAGCAAACGGGCTTATGCGCGTCATATTGGTCATCAGAGTGGTAATCGTCACAGAAGTGGACCCGGGAGTTTCACTGCCGCTTGAGGGTGAAGGAGACAGATCGCTCTAACGAAACCTTAACAGAATGAATGAAAAAACCTCTCTGGGCATGTGTATGAGGCCAAATAGCACTGTAATCATGTTTAAAGCAGAGAAAAGTCAAAAAGCGTTATGCCTAGCGTACATCGGACTGGCAACTGATTAACTCCTGGTAGCAGGCCAGTCTGGGGAATAACAGCGCGTACATCGACCGCAACTGGCCTCAACTACAGTGTGTTTTCTGACATAAACTGTAGAGGGTGCTATACACGCAATACACACATGTTGTTGGAGCGCGCACATCGGGTGATATCTCCGGATCCGAGGACAACTGACTGAATCCGGAGATCGACTATTTATCTCCAGTTGTAAGAGCGCTCACATCGATCGATTTCAACTGATCATCTCCATCATCTACTCTCAGCCGCCAAAAGCCGCCTTGCAACTTGTTGTCTCCAGTTACTCTGTTGATGTACGCTAGGCTTTAGACATGACAGTGTGAGTAAATCAGCTGCTAAACGAACACATACGCACAAATGTAAACAACACAATCAACTTTCAAACATTGCACACAAACGGATTTCTTTGTATTTCTTTTATAAATGTTTTATATTTTGGGCTCATTTCAGTTCAATCCTGAGACTATTCCATAATTTAATCCCACAAATTGAAATGCAAAAACTCTTTCTCTTTCTTACTGCGTGACAAGAGACCAGTAACACAGATAGTAGTTTCTGGTGTATTGTCCTACATTGGCCACTAGGGGCAGCGCACACTCATAAATCTGCAAACGCAAAGAACTGACATTAAACAGTTTTGTCTTTTGAACAAAAACCAAACACCAGAGGATAACAAAGACAATAAATCACACATATATTAAAGTGACGTCCTTTTCAACACAAAGCCACAACCTCACACCGACACACACAGCCTCTCACACCTTCACTCCGACAGCTACAACCGAGCATTCTTTCTCTCGTTGCCCGGGTGACACTAATTATGGGGTGTGGGAGGGCTCACACCAGACTGCGGAATTCAGGAAGGACCATAAACCGCTGAGAAGAGAGGACCAGTGATACATACGCACCACTTCCACAGACCAGAGTGAGGCGGGCATGACCAGTCCTCCGGGACCTGAGCCGGGAGTGGGCGGGTTTGATCAAGGACAGGTACCGGGCCAAGCTGCGAAAGGATTCAGAAGTGTCTCATTATGTAGTTTATTATGATGTGGTTTGTTTGTCAGCCTCTGTCACACCATCACTAACTTACTCTGTGCCCTAATGGGGATTTAAAGTGGCAATATGTAAGATTGTCATGTCAAGTCATCATTAAAGGGCCCTTATCTGTCAAAAGGCATTCATAATCTGTGCTCTTTTCCAATACTTCTTTGACTGATGACAGTAGTTCAGAGATATTTGGGTTTCAAAATGAGTAAATCTTGTTTTCCTTTCGATTTCTCGCCCTTCACCGCTTCACCAATCAGAAAGTCTGTGATGCAGGTTGCCAGAATTCACTGCGTCGAGCTAATCTCACTGAGGAGCACACAGCATAAGTGAAAATTACTACTATCTCTATCTTTAGCATAACAAAGAAGCAATTCTAAAATCTCTTACTTTAGCATAATAAAGAAGTATAAAATCTATAGCTTCAGCATATTAAAGAAGCAAGTATAAAGTATGTGTATTTTAAGTATAAATCTTTACATGAATGCAGTAATACTGTATGTGTGTGTTCTCCATATTTAGTGGTTATGATCCAGACCATATTTTCATAAAATAATCTCTCCAATCAAAAAGGTTGGCGACCCCAGTACATTATAATGTTCTTATGTCTGAAAGTCCCATCATTGTCCTCACCTCGAGACACATTTAGGAGAAAATCATTTTACCATGGTTGAAAGGCTCTGATAGAGAAGATGTGGATTGGCTCAAGAATGAGAGAAATTATCTGTAAACTCAGACGAGAAATCTAACTTTTGGAATGTTGTACTGTCATGTGAATGGTTAGGGTTGGAAAATGACTCAAATTTGAGAAAAATATATCATAATTTGAGCACTTTAAAATTATACAACAAATGTCTTCCTTGGAATGAGAGCAACAATGCAAAAGTTCTTGACCCATTGGTGAATCTGGGTTTAAGACAGTCAGAATGTACAAAAAGTTCGATTACAGTATAGCTTTATGAACCCCGTGTCAAAAAATAAAACTAAGTAGAATATTGTTATAACACAGTAAGTAATGAGTAATAAACATGTATTAAGATAGTAATGGAATTGTAATTAGGCTAGTAATCAGAGGTCTAGATTTGGCTGATGGAGGGAGTGGCAGGAGACTGAATACGTTTGGTTGGTACCATTTATTTAATTTATATTCACCGCTGGCTCTGCGTACTTTTACAGAAACAACACAATAAACAAGGCTCGATGCAAAACGTGATTGAAATAAGCACAACAGATTTTCCTTCCACGAGAGCAAAAAAAACACATTCTCGAAGGGTTAGAGCAACACAAGTGTGCGCTCGGCCTGCAGACGGAAAGCGTTTCAACATCTTGGGTTCAACGAGAAGTCTTCATACATGTGACATCATCCGACTGTCCTTCGGTGGCCTGACGTGCTCGCGCTGGGGGAGTGGGTGCAGGGGGAGAGGGGAGAGGGGGGGGGGGGGGGGGGGGGGGGGCACGGAAAAGCATCCCTCATGGTGGACGCACACATGCACAGCTACACAATGGTCACACGGTGGACACAAGGTCAGCGCTGAAACACAGGAAGGCCCCGTCTCTCCGAGCTGGACACTTCAGACGCTCACAGGAGATGGATGGAGCGAGTGGAAATACAAAAATATTCAGGTTTGGGATCAAAGTCGGGTCTCGAACTGCTGCAAGAACCCCTGGGCCTTTGTTGACACGTTCATTTACTACACTCTAAAACAAAAACTCAACTTGTCATGGTGGTCATAGAAGTCACACACATTTCAGATAAGTATATTCATTAGTAACTTTATCCAGATTAGTCTATTCTCACAATATGATCCTATTATATTTTTATTTTCTAATTGTTACTTTATTATTTTTTATTGTGGATATTTTCAAATTAGATAAATGTATTGTTTTTTCAGATTCATGCTGCTAAAATCTGGAACAGTCTTCCTGAAGATGTGAGACTGGCCTCCTCTCTGACAATGTTTAAAACCAGGTTAAAGACAGTTCTGTTTAGCTGTGCATACAACTGAGGGATTTTATATTTTCTTCTTAATATACTATGATTATTTATGATTTTAATGCTTTCTTATTGTGTTCAGCACTTTGAATTGCCTTGTGTATGAATTGTGCTATACAAATAAACTTGCCTTGCCTTAAATTAAATTTTTCCAACAGAGTGTGTGTGTGTGTGTGTGCGCATGTGTAAATATGTGTGTGTGATTATTTGTATCATATATATTGTCATTCAGAAATCTCCCCACTATGGGACGATTATGACTGCGAGCAATGCACAATTTCCTTTGGGATCAATAAAGTATCTATCTACTACAGTATTTACAAAGCGCTGCACAGTCAGCAAAAAACAGGCAAAAATAGTCAATAAAACAGTCAGATAAAAAAAAATACAGAAGAACAAAGCAGAAAGGCACAACAAAGACAAAGCAGACAGTAAAGTACAACGTGAGGTTTAAAAGTTGTTCGATAAAAGATTATACTAGAATGATGGTGCCAGCTTTATCTCCACAGACAGGTGGTTCCAAAGCCGAGGAGCACGAACAGAAAAGGCTTTATCACCTTTCGTCTGGAGCCTCGCCCTTGGGACAGTCAACAGGGACCTGCCCGAGGAGCCGAGTCTGCGGGGGAAGGGCTCGTAGGGGGTAAATATAGCTTGGTGCGCAGACCTAAACAAGCTTTAAAAGTATTAAAATCAGTGAAATCTTAAAACCAATTCTAAAACGCAAAGGAAGCCAGTGGAGGGACGCTAACACAGGGGTAATGTGCTTCCTTCTGTTAAAACCAGTGAGAAGTGAAATATAAATGCATCAATACTGGACCAATACCTTTATTTTTCACTGGTATCGTTTAGAATCCAAAGTCCCCCGTCTGAAAGATGCCCAGATACGTTGCCACATGTTAGAATCATCGGACGTACACGGGGAATGATTCAGAGCCGCTGAAACAATCTCAGTCACAAATGGATGAACTTTTAATGGCTCTTTGGTCTGCAGCGTGTGACATCCTCGGCTCCGGTCCCAGAGACAGAGAGTGTTGTGGCAAACAGAGGAAGCGTTGGCAGGACGCGGCCGTTATCATTCTGCGGTCGGCTGTCCGTGACTTACACACGCATTGTCCGAGCGGGAACACGGGGAAATGGGAGCAAAACTCTTTCCATGTGTGCCACTGGAAACGCACTGTTCTCCCACTGCGCCCCTCCATCCCAACCCCCGGAGCTCCATGTCCTGCTCGTGTTCATAAGTGCATTTGCAGAAAGACAATAATGACTTTGGGAGACTTTAGAACAGACTTTAATGCTAGAGACTTGTATTGTCTTTTGGATATGAGGTTGTGGACATTTATTGTTCAAACTTTCAAAAATGTTTAGTAAATCAGTGACATATTTAAAGTTTCCTCTTTAACCCACAGCTGAGAGATAGCAGTAGCTCGCCAGCACTTTATGCATTTGTTAATTATTCAAAATGTACGAATGCTCATAACTATTGCACACTAACTTGACCTGACCTCGAGAGACAGTAACCGGCTCGACAGGCTGATCAGGACATGTGTCTCTGTGATGGGGAGAAGGATGAGGGCTCTAATGCAGGGCATCCTGGGTAACTCCAGACACCCTCTGCATGATACTATGGCCGCTCAGAGGAGTCATCGAAGCAACAGGCTCCTATCACTACGCTGCCGAACGGAACGGTTCAAGAGATCCTTTGTTCCTTCGGCTGTCAGACTGTACAACAAACCTGGGTGAGTCTTCTGCTGCTGGACAACTGCATTTCTCCAACGGAGATCAATGAAGCATCTATCTATCTAGATGATAACTGAATGCTAGTAACAATCTTCATTTAACCCATTCACGCTCTCTGCAGCGAAAGGAAAGGACGTGTGGGTGAAGGTTAGACACCTCTGAGACAGTTTGTAATATGTTCTCTCTGCTCTAATTATTACAATTAAAGTCACACTGTTGCTGCCAGACTCTGACACATGTAGCTCCTTAAACTGATTATGACAGATTTACAAATGATGTATGTAGCTAAAATATGGAACAGTCTCGCTGAAGATGTGAGACAGGCCTCTCCTCTGACGATGTTAAAATCCAGGTTAAAACAGTTCTGTTTCTCTGCAACAACTGAAGGGTTTTATCTTCACTCGTTTTAATATACTGTGATTATTTATGCACCAAAACCAGAATATGTAGAAGAACTTTAGAAACAGCAGTGAGTTCTTGATGTAAATAAAGGATCATTGCCAAAGATGGAAAGACTGATGCAAAAAGCATTTAATTAAAGCTGAGGAACTTAACTTTCCAACCACAAAAATATAATAAAATAATAAAATCCATCAAACACTTGTTGTGTTGCTAGTTTGACCTCAGTCTCATCTTTACTCAGCCCAAAGTGTCAAACAGTGACTCACAGGGCTCTTTATAAAGCTAAAGACAACACGTTTAAAGGTGAAGACAGCGGCATGTTGTGTTGAATCTTTCTGATTGGACAAAAAACATGTTTCATGTATAAATAATTAAGTACCCCAGCTTTAAACAGACACCACGTCTTATGGAATGAAAATGCATCCACACCATCCACCACCAAGAAGTCCTCAGGACCGGGGGCCATAATCTCAGCAGCGCCATCATTCTTTATAAAGTGATTTATTATTTAACACAATAAATTGTTCTGTACCTTTCCTCAGACTGGTCATGTGATGTTTCAGTTTCACACCTTTTTTCAGGACAGAATAAAGAGTAAGAGTAAAAAAGGTCAAACATGAGAAAAACATTGAAATAAATATGAAATGTTGTGACAGTGGCTCAGTTGGTAGAGCCTTTGGGCCTGAAGGTCATGGGTGCGAGCCCACCAAAAGACCTACTTCATGACCCCCACTGATGTCACAAGAACACAATGTCCTTAACCCCACTTTGCCTAAAAATATCTAAAACAAGTGTCTCTAACCTTTTTCACCCAGAGAGCTACTTTCCCGAGATGAAAAAGTCAGAAAGCTGGTCCTTTAAGAAGTCCTCTGAAAAAGGAGGTGATGTGTCGGTGAGAGTGAGCCTGATGTCAGAAAGTCATTATAGTCACTATCATCACATATTCATTACAAGTGCAAAGTATAATAAATAATACATTCTGAAAATATCACGTATATTATTTTATTTTTTTATTTCAATCTACTGGTGGCTCCCAATATAAATAAGGCAAAGTTACATATAAATACAGCATTAGCACAAAGCACTTGACCACATACACTATCGTTCAAAAGTTTGGGGTCACATTGAAATGTCCTTATTTTTGAAGGAAAAGCTGTAGATAACTTTAAACTAGTCTTAATTGTAACGAAATACACTCTATACTTTGCTTATGTGGTAAATGACTATTCTAGCTGCAAATGTCTGGTTTTTGGTGCAATGTTGTAATTTTTGCAAATGGAGGATTCTTTGATGAAAGCAAAGTTGGATGTAAAACAAATCTTGTTATTTCTAACCTTGTCAATGTCTTGACTCTATTTTCTATTCATTTCACAACGTGTGGTGGTGAATAAGTGTGACTTTTCATGGAAAACACTTGGGTGACCCCAAACTTTTGAACGGTAGTGTAGTATTTTTTCCATTTTATTATTATATCTTTCCATGAATGCTGGCACTGCCTCCCCTGCCTCCTCTGCCTCCTCTGCCTCCTCTGCCTCCCCTGCCTCCTCTGCCTCCTCTGCCTCCCCTGCCTCCCCTGCCTCCTCTGCCTCCTCTGCCTCCCCTGCCTCCTCTGCCTCCTCTGCCTCCCCTGCCTCCTCTGCCTCCTCTGCCTCCTCTGCCTCCTCTGCCTCCTCTGCCTCCCCTGCCTCCTCTGCCTCCTCTGCCTCCCCTGCCTCCTCTGCCTCCTCTGCCTCCTCTGCCTCCTCTGCCTCCTCTGCCTCCTCTGCCTCCTCTGCCTCCCCTGCCTCCTCTGCCTCCCCTGCCTCCTCTGCCTCCTCTGCCTCCTCTGCCTCCTCTGCCTCCTCTGCCTCCCCTGCCTCCTCTGCCTCCCCTGCCTCCTCTGCCTCCTCTGCCTCCTCTGCCTCCCCTGCCTCCCCTGCCTCCTCTGCCTCCTCTGACCACACTGCTCTGGACACATGACACACCTCAGCCACAGCTGCCCCACTGACTTGATGACGTTTGTTCACAGACTCACACACTCGGCCTCTGGGTATAAGTCGTGTGGAGTTTCTTTTGTGGCTGTGGTGCGGTGGTGGGGATGGTCCGCCCTGGCCCTCTGCTCTGGCTCCTATGACAGACCGGAGGGAGGGGAGGGCGGGGGGGGGTTGCCTGGAGCAGCCTGTGCGTGCCACTGGTGAAGAGGGAGGGAGAAAACAAGAGCATGTTTGTCACAGAGCGTCCAGGGAGTAGCTCCAACTCCCAACAGCTGACTACAGACCACTGTGTTTTTCATCTTTTCATTTGGGACCACTTTCCACGACGACGCTCCAGACGCTTCCAGATACAACAGCCTCTGACAGTTGAAAAGTTTCTCGCAGACGATGTTAGGATGACATTTCACTGAGATTCATCAAACAAGCTGCAGCGGCGGCACGGTGGCTGAGTGGATAGCACTCTCGCCTCTCAGCAAGAAGGTCCTGGGTTCAAATCCCGGTTGGACCAGGGCCTTTCTGAGTGGAGTTTGCATGTTCTCCCCGTGTCTGCGTAGGTTTCCTCCGGGTACTCCGGTTTCCCCTACCACTAAAAATATGTACAATAGGTCTGGCATGTGCCTCCTGTACTGGCACCCCCACTCCCAAAAATAACAATTGTAAACCGCTTTGAGACTCCGATGTGCAGTGAAAAGGCGGTATATATAAATAAAGATTACATACATTACAAAATGAAAAGTAAATAAAGACAATATTTTTTCTACGGAGTCAATTGACATCAAGCCTGGTCACACCATCGTACTCATTTAATATTGTACATTTAATATCATACTAAGGTCTATTGTTGCTCCATTGAGCTCCGTTTACAGGTGGGAGGGGTTAACTCCTTTTGCAGATTGAAACGATTGGATCTGAGTTTACTGTGACATTTGTAATGCGCTCAAGTGAGTCGCTAGCATTTAGAATTTAGCCTAGCTTTAGCATTTAGCCTAGCTTTAGCCATCTCCATTGTCACTATCCCCACGAGAGCCCGTGGGGAGCTGAGCCACAACATTTTCTAAATATTCCTCTTGCTCCAGCTTCAATTTCATAATATTTTGGAGTCAAACTACAACCAGCAAATTCGGCGCAAACTCTTGACGTCACCGACACCTACCTACAACACCCGCCCCCCCCGCTCGGTGATTGGTCAGAGGAGATACAACCAAGGTAACTGCAGCCACTAGGATCAGACACAGACGTACTACATGTAGGTTATGATACTTGACCGGAGTTTACGGATGTCTAAGGCCAGGCTAACTGACATTCAGCCTACTGCACCACACAACAGCTGTGCCTGTGGCAAACTGGAATTAGTTGGTTTATTTTGGTCATAATTAACTTAAATCACAGGACATTTGATCAGATACAAGTCAGCATCTTTTGCGTTTTGTTAATATTAGTGCTGTGAGTTAAACGTGTCAATAATGGCGTGAACGCAAACCAATCTTAATGTAAGTAAGTAATGGCGATAATGGCAAGTATAAAAACGCAGATGCTGCTCCGGCCTCGGTAAAGTCTGAGGACAAGTGTACAGTACGCTCCAGCACAAGCAGACTTCCGATGTGCTCTGCTCGTCAGCGTGTACTGTGATCTGAAATCAGCCCTGCAACCTCCAACGACCGTCCATCAGGAATCACAACTGTCTGGAGGTCACAGCCCAAACGTTGAATTCAAGTTATTCAAACACGAGTTAATATTCTTCACACATTAAGAAAAGTTATGTGTTGACATCGACGGGCGCATAATGGTCCCTCGGGATAACGCGGTCCACATTTCACGCTGTTTTGTGATCGCAGTGATTATTTCTGAGGACTACAGTCTTCTTGAAAATGTGAGACAGGCTTCTTCTTTGACGATGTTCAAATCCAGGTTAAAAACTGATTTGTTAAGCTGTGGATATACTGGGATTATTTATGATATTAAAGCCTTGTGTGATTTTAAAGTTTCTTTTCTTGTTTTTTTTAGCATAAATACAATTGCCTTGCCTACAATTTGATTCAGAATAACTATAAATCTGTTATTACAAATATTCTTTAAAAGGTCCTCAAACTTACTCTGACACTGGAGCACGGACAGGGTGGAAATAAAAATGTCTTTACTTAGCTCCATGAATAAGACTTTTCAAATTTTTTCCACAGGCATTTTTTTAAATATTGTGGGAAAACATCCCTAAACCCTAAAAGTAGTCAAGTTATATTGTGTTTTCAAATTGTAATGGAATTGACCAGATGTCTATAGTCTCCAAAAATTAATAAAACATATTTTGGAGCGGACTGATAAAAATAAACCAATGGGATTCGTTCATCCCCAACGAACCAACGGGATGCGTTTACCCTTCACCCTCTTCCTGTTTCTCGTGAGTGAGTGCACCTCATGGATCTATTATATTAACTGGATAGGGTATTACTAGCTTGTAGCTGAATAACTCATGTGCTCGGGGGATTCTCGCGGTACTGCAGACTGAACCAGACTAAATTCACGTGGGCTACCCAGAAATTTTCCCCATAGAACTCAATGCATATTAAAACAGCTCGACCTCAGCTGACAGAGAACCTACAGCTTTCATAAAGGTCGGATTTTGTGGGGATTTTAGTGTCCCTTGTCATCCTGAACTTTTTTTCTTCTTAAATCCTTCGGTTTTGTTTAAATCCACACTTTAGTGCCACAAACTCTGCTCGTCTGGCTCTCGCTCTAACTCCCGCTCTAATGAACTGCTCTGATTGGTCAGAGCGCGGCCGAGCCCCTCTGTTATGGGAGATCATCCACTGCGCAGAACCGGGAGGACCAGACGATGCCCAAATACAGGCGAGTTTCCCATAGATCTTTGCGAGTTTCCCATAGATCTTTGCGAGTTCCAGGCAACTTCCGCTAATCTTTCAGCCCCCATGCCGTCACAAAGCGCCACTGAGCACAACCATTCATTTGAATAGGACGCCATCTTGGATCGCCGGGGCTTGGTGCACCTGAGTTATCAGATTTTCTAAAACCTAAAAGGGCTGAACAGAAAATGCCAATTTCTCATTTGCCGCCCACTCTCCCTGTTGTGACAAAGAAAAGAAAATGCTGGATGTTTGGTTCGGTGGAGAGGCGAGGGGAGGGGGGAGTGGTTTAGAGTTGGTGCTACGGCTAAGCTAACAACATCGCTAACTGCACCTTTAAATCTGTTATTATCTTTGTACAGTTTAGCATAGACAACTGAGGAGGTCAAAATAACGGTTTAAGTTCTGTTTGTTTCTCTAAATAAATGGGAGAAAAACACGATGCATTTATTTAACGTCTCAGCCAAATAACTGCACAAGTTGTTCTTGTCGATTGGCAGCATTTGAAGAGTGTTTGATTAAAGACGCAAGAGGAGAAATTATCTAATAAAGAAGACAAATAGGAAACAGAGGGTGAGACGCCACAAATACAGCTCAAAACAAAGTCAATTCTGCACCGAGCGTGTCACGCGTTTTATGGGAAATAACAGGAAAATCTGTCTTTATTAAATATATAAATTCATGTGATTATAGCTGTCTGTGCGATCCTCTCTCGCTGTGGGCCTCACCGGGGTTTCTCACTTTTTACAACTGATGTTTTAATTTTTCAGTTTTTTTTTTGCAGATTCAGAGGGTCTAAGCACAGTGATGACCCAGGACATTTAGGGACATTTATAAACATTTGTGAACATTGGGCATTTCTATGAACCAATGGCTCCTATGTTTATTTTGCTGCATTTCCTGCGTCCGCACTATTTGATTCTCTGATCTGTTGTCCGTCTTTAAAATTTGTTTTCATTGTGTTGTTTAAAAAAAAAACAAATAAAAATTAAATAGCTATTCTATTGATTTATTGATTTAAAATAACACAAATATACAGTATTCATATATTTTTCATTCATATCGACTTGTTCGTGTTAAGTTATTGTTAATGTATCCTACAGCACTTTGCAAAGTTATAAAAAGTGCTAAGTAAGTGGTGGCTGAGTGGATAGCACTCTCGCCTCTCAGCAAGAAGGTCCTGCGTTCGAATCCCAGTCAGAACAGGGCCTTTCTGAGTGGAGTTTGCATGTTCTCCCTGTGTCTGCGTAGGTTTCGTCCAGGTACTCCGGTTTCCCCTACCACTAAAAACATGTACAATAGGTCTGGCATGCGTCTCCTGTACTGGCCCCGCTCCAATCTCTGTGTGGAGTGAGAGACAAGTGCCCAAAAAATAACAATTGTAAACGGCTTTGTGACTCTGGTCTGTGAAAGGCGCTATATAAATAAAGATTACTTACTTTCTTACTATATAAATCGACAGTAGATTAGACCAAAGTAACTGACTGCATACACATTAGATTAGGTTAGAATAGATTAGAATAGGACACACCAGCAGGACTTGCACTGTATCTGTAGTGAGGATTTTAGAAATAAAAATGGTCATTTTCAGAAATATTGTATAAGCGCTGACCTTATCTGTCTGTTTATGCCACGTTACGGCCCTAGCGGGGCATGTTTTAGGATAAAAATCGTGGCTAAAAAGAATTAGTCCTTTTTATTCTGTATGTTTTATAGGACTTAACAGCACAAAGTAAGTATAGATAGATAGATACTTTACTGATCCCCGTAGGAGATATTCAAGTGTCCCGTAGCAGCAGAAACACATGCATCCACACAAACACAACAAATAAATACATAATTCTAAAAGTAGCTAACAATAGTATCAAAATGCAGCAGCACTTAAGGTCACAGCAGCAGAGGTGCTTCGTTAGCATTCCTCCAGTTCTCTTGTTTCGGACCATGAATCCTCTCCACTTCCTGTTGGAGCTACTTAGGACTGACTTGTAAAATATATATAGTAGTCTAGAATATATATCTAGTCTTGTATAGTCTAGTACACTATATCTATCTCCAAGAAGAACATTCTAAAGTGCTGTTTGTGATCTTCCATCTCCCTAGCATCAGGCAGTTAAAACGCCATCTGCAGAAAGAGAATGCTACTTTAAAGCTGGGGTACCTCACTTTTTCTCAATAATACATGTTCAGTCAGGAACATTATGACTAACTTTAATTTAATGATAAAATAAAAGTGGTAAAACAAGCAAAGATCTAACGAATTGGCGATCTTTCTGAATCCATCATGTTTATTCTTTTGCAGCGGCCTTGTTCAGTCTCATCACGATACCGATCTTACGAGCCACTGTGTCCGTTACATCGGCCCTGATGCGGGGCAGACTCCCTCTCCTGCCCCGGTCTGTGAGAGGGGGGTACCTGAGGGGGTGGTGGGGGGTGGAGGGCCGGCTCAGGGGGGGTCGGCTCCTGCTCTGCTGGGACAGGGCTGCGGTCAGCTCCTCCCTCTCCTCACACTCCCTCAGCACCGTCTGCTCCAGGAAGGCCACCTACACACACACGCAAGTTTATCTGTATAGCACAGTTCATATACAACGCTTAACTAAATTAAATAGAAACAAAAATAAAAAGATAAAATTCCTCAGTTGTATGCACAGCCAAAAAACTGTTTTCAAGCTGGATTTGAACATTTTCTGTCTCACATTTTCCGTTTTTAGCTGCATAAATCTGAAATACTGTTTATTTATATAGCGCATTTTACAAACCAAGGTCACCCAAAGTGCTTTACAATGTTCAGAGTCAGATATTGTTCCAATCATTCCACACACAGTGATGACAGAAGCGAGTCCAGAACAGCTCCAACACCATCCATTCACTCTCTCATTTACACTCATACCTATTGTACATGTTTTTAGTGGTAGGGGAAACCGGAGCACCCGGAGGAAACCTACGCAGACCAGTCCCTTTGCTATTCAGAACCCCAGCAGGAGACAAGTCCCTGTGCTCCTCAGAGTCCCAGCAGGAGACCAGTCCCTGTGCTCCTCAGAGTCCCAGCAGGAGACCAGTCCCTGTGCTCCTCAGAGTCCCAGCAGGAGACCAGTCCCTGTGCTCCTCAGAGTCCCAGCAGGAGACCAGTCCCTGTGCTCTTCAGAGTCCCAGCAGGAGGCCAGTCCCTGTGCTCCTCAGAACGCCAGCAGGAGACCAGTCCCTGTGCTCTTCAGAGTCCCAGCAGGAGGCCAGTCCCTGTGCTCCTCAGAACGCCAGCAGGAGGCCAGTCCCTGTGCTCCTCAGAACGCCAGCAGGAGACCAGTCCCTGTGCTCCTCAGAGTCCCAGCAGGAGACCAGTCCCTGTGCTCCTCAGAACCCCAGCAGGAGACCAGTCCCTATGCTCCTCAGTCTCCATTGGTTGGCACTAACATGTCACAGATGTACTTTGGTGCGAGGCCCCAGAGAGCCAGAACATGTACAGGTTACGCAACATCCAGCTTTAAAACATCTTCTTAAGTGTGAAATGTAGAATTAGTTCATTTGATGAATCTGTGGTGTTTAAACGTACTCCCCACTTTCTCACACATTCCTCACATTCTCGTTAAGCACCAGGATTACTTCATAAGTGCTTTTCACAACTTTCAGAGAGCAGTGTGAACGAGCAAACCCACGGAGCTGCTGTTTACCACACCTGTGAAATGGAAATAACAATAATAACCACCTCCATTCCAAAGACAAACAAAGCACACACACGCACACGCACACACACGCACACGCACCTACACACACAGTGTATTAGTGTTATTGTGTTTGAGGTGTGTGTGTGTGTGCGTGTGTGTGTTTGGTGGATGGAGAAAAGCAGATCAGAGAGAACAGCACAATCACACAGTCAGAGCCTCGGTCACAGAGACCCAACACTGCCAGCCTGATCCTGGACACACAACTCTGCTAACACACAACTAACCCACAGAGACCCAACACTGCCAGCCTGATCCTGGACACACAACTCTGCTAACACACAACTAACCCACAGAGACCCAACACTGCCAGCCTGATCCTGGACACACAACTCTGCTAACACACAACTAACCCACAGAGACCCAACACTGCCAGCCTGATCCTGGACACACAACTCTGCTAACACACAACTAACCCACAGAGACCCAACACTGCCAGCCTGATCCTGGACACACAACACTACACACTCTTCTGCTAACACACAACTAACCCACAGAGACCCAACACAGTCAGCCTGATCCTGGAGACACAACACTACAAACAACTCTGCTAACACACAACTAACCAACAGAGACCCAACACTGTCAGTCTGATCCTGGACATACAACACTACACACAACTCTGCTAACAAACAACTAACCCAGAGACACCCAACACTGCCAGCCTGATCCTGGACACACAACACTACACACTCTTCTGCTATTACACAACTAACCCACAGAGACCCAACACAGTCAGCCTGATCCTGGACACACAATACTACACACAACTAACCCACAGAGACCCAACACAGTCAGCCTAATTCTGGACACACAACACTACACACAACTCTGCTAACACACAACTAACCCACAGAGACCCAACACAGTCAGCCTGATCCTGGACACACAACACTACACACAACTAACCCACAGAGACCCAACACAGTCAGCCTAATTCTGGACACACAACACTACACACAACTAACCCACAGAGACCCAACACAGTCAGCCTAATTCTGGACACACAACACTACACACAACTAACCCACAGAGACCCAACACAGTCAGCCTAATTCTGGACACACAACACTACACACAACTCTGCTAACACACAACTAACCCACAGAGACCCAACACAGTCAGCCTGATCTTTGACACACAACACTACACACAACTAACCCACAGAGACCCAACACAGTCAGCCTGATCCTGGACACACAACACTACACACAACTCTGCTAACACACAACTAACCCACAGAGACCCAACACAGCCAGCCTGATCCTGGATACACAACACTACACACAACTCTGCTAACACACAACTAACCCACAGAGACCCAACACAGTCAGCCTGATCCTGGACACACAAAACTACACACAACTCTGCTAACACACAACTAACCCACAGAGACCCAACACAGTCAGCCTGATCCTGGACACACAACACTACACACTCTTCCGCTAACACACAACTAACCCACAGAGACCCAACACAGTCAGCCCGATCCTGGACACACAACACTACACACTCTTCCGCTAACACACAACTAACCCACAAAGACCCAACACAGTCAGCCTGATCCTGGACACACAACACTACACACAACTCTGCTAACACACAACTAACCCACAGAGACCCAACACTGTCAACCTGATCCTGGACACACAACTCTGCTAACACACAACCAGCCCACAGAGACCCAACACAGTCAGCCCGATCCTGGACACACAATACTACACACAACTCTGCTAACACACAACTAACCCACAGACACCCAACACTGTCAGCCTGATCCCGGACACACAACACTACACACAACTCTGCTACCACACAACTAACCCACAGAGACCCAACACTGTCAGCCTAATCCTGGACACACAACACTACACACAACTCTGCTACCACACAACTAACCCACACGAGACCCAACACACAGACAACCCTGATCCTGACACACACACAACTCTCTACACACAACTAACCCACAGAGACCCAACACTGCCAGCCTGATCCTGGACACACAACACTACACACACACAACTAATCCACAGAGACCTAACACAGTTAGCCTGATCCTGGACACACAACACTACACACAACTCTGCTACACACAACTAACCCACAGAGACCCAACACTGTCAGCCTGATCCTGGACACACAACACTACACACAACTCTGCTACCACACAACTAACCCACAGAGACCCAACACTGTCAGCCTAATCCTGGACACACAACACTACACACAACTCTGCTACCACACAACTAACCCACAGAGACCCAACACAGACAGCCTGATCCTGGACACACAACACTACACACAACTAACCCACAGAGACCCAACACTGCCAGCCTGATCCTGGACACACAACACTACACACAACTAATCCACAGAGACCTAACACAGTTAGCCTGATCCTGGACACACAACACTACACACAACTCTGCTACCACACAACTAACCCACAGAGACCCAACACTGCCAGCCAGATCCTGGACACACAAAACTACACACTCTTCTGCTAACACACAACTAACCCACAGAGACCCAACACAGTCAGCCTGATCCTGGACACACAACACTACACACAACTAACCCACAGAGACCCAACACAGTCAGCCTGATCCTGGACACACAACACTACACACAACTCTGCTAACACACAACTAACCCACAGAGACCCAACACAGTCAGCCTGATCCTGGACACACAACACTACACACAACTCTGCTAACACACAACTAACCCACAGAGACCCAACACAGTCCCACTAACACACACCATTACACACTGTTGCCATTCATCAATAATTCAAACAGCTTCATAAAGCCCTGATTGCTGGGTTGCCGTGACATTTATTTTATATTGAACACAAAACACTATTGATATTTTTGGACGAAGCACTTTTTTTTTAATGAAATCAAATTAATGTATTTTGTGGAATCCAAAAACACATCAACAGTCATCCTAATTTCAAAGATTGTTCATTTTAATTCAGAACACAGATGACCTACACCATCCATCCATTTTCTTCCCCTTAATCCATTTCTGGGTCAAGGGGGGGTGGCAGTCAGAGCTGCACCCAGTCCACAGAGCACCAGCCCCTCACTGATCCTCCTGCAGGTGGTGAGTCCACAGGAGCTGAGATCTTTCAGTTGGGGCTTCAGGCAAAGTGGGGTTAAGTGTCTTGCCCAAGGACACAACGACAGCAGTCATCAGTGGGAGTCATAAAGTAGGTCTCATGGTGGGCTCGAACCCACAACCTTCATGACCTACACCGTGCATCCAAAAACAAAACAGATTCTAAGGAGGAGGCAGAATGACAATAATCTAAAAGTTAATCTGATGTAAACCCACTCCAGACAAACTAAACTGAATATGATGTTGATTTACAAAGTTAAAATGGAGGTCCAGACACCGAATAAAAAAAGTCAATCAAAATGAACCAATATTTATCCAATAATAATCCAACAAGGTTCATTTTGTCTTAAGACCAGAGTCTGTTTTTGTAAGCTTCACATGGTGTTCCTGGGACCACCAAAAGACATGTCACTGGAACATCTGCACTCTATGGAAGACTGCGCAGGTAGAACAAACACACCAAGGTCTTAAAAACAGAATAGAAAAACTGACCAATATTCACAAGAACGAAGCAAGTTGAGAAATGGAGACAATCCTTCAAACATGAGATGAAAAAAAGGCTTCAAAAAGATGTCCTCGAATCACCACAATACATCAAATACTACTTATAAATATAAAAAAAAAAATTATACATTTGTTTTGGACATCATGAATTAAATGAATACATTTTGTGAAATGTGAAATATGATGTCAGGTAG